TTTTTTTTTTTTTTTTTTTTTTTTTTTTTTTAAGTAAAACAGGGAAAGAGGAGGAGTGGAGAAGAGGACTAGATATAGATACAGGCAAGTTTATAACATTGGATGATTCCAACCTCCTCCCTCTCTCTCCCCCTCTCTCCTATTAAAAAACAAAACATGATACCCTGTCAGTTTGCTCCACTTTTCTGTGAGGCAGCTCAAAAGTAACAAACTGTTCCCTGAGTACAGGAAAAAACAACAACAACAAAAAACCCCAAAAAACACTAGAATAACTTTTAAAGGAGGTAGTATAAAACAGGAATTGCATGGGTTCAAGGCAGTAGCAGAATTCACCTCTTTCAACAGACTCTTCAACTAAAGCTCTGGCTTTTTTTATTTCTCATGGTAGCCTAATCAGAGTTTTAGATTGGCATGCGGGTAAAGTCACTCCCTGAGCTAAAATTCCTGGCTAACAGCACACTAGGCGAAGGCAAGGGGCAGGGTTGCATCGTAACAACAGCTCTGAGACATACTACGATGCTAGCAGTGCTTATCAGCACTCAAAGCTGGGTAAAAATGAACTATAAACACATGACACAGTTTACTTAAAACATCTAAGAAGCTTTTAAGGCATCTTTCTGTACTCCAAAGCAACTTTATGAATACTAAAAAGGCATAAGGCAAATCAGTAATTTCATAATATATAATGCAAGGCACCATTACTAAGAAGTACTGCGATACTGGAATACTCAGCATTATTATCTATTCCATGACTCTCAGGCAGAGCCAAACTGTTTGGAAATCCTGAATACTTCTTCATTTTGCCATGCTTTTTAGCATTAACTGTCAATAAAGGGGCAACATTTGTCACTGTGGGGAACCCAACATGTCCCAGAGTCCTAAGGATATAGCATACATCCTGTCAGCAGTTGCTGGCACAAGTTTCTGGGGGAAAGGCACTGTCCTAGGCTTACTGGGGTTATGAGAAATCAAGAGGTACAAAAGATTTCATGTGGCTGTATACATGGAAGCACCAACTCCAGTTTTCCCAGTTTTTAACATCCTCTGTGTCAACCACATTAAATCATTACATTTTATACTCTGAGGTTTCCTTCTTTTTAAAGACAGAGCTTCAGCTAAACAATCTTGTTCACCTACCTATACAACTCCCTGATCACTGAGTGCGCACACATGCGCACGCACACACACACATTCTACACACAACTGAAAATAAAACAAAATAAAAGAAACCCAAAATAAAACAACACTACTAGGAAGTATCATCAGTTCTATAGCTGAGACCAACTAGAACACAAATGAGGTAAAGCAGTTGTCATTCAGAGTTCACCTCTTGGCAAACTGAGGTAGATAGTCAGCAAAAGGGCCAACAGCCTTCCCATTGCTCCAGTGACATATTTTTAACTTTAGTCAGAAATCTTCACTGTCCTTTCACATTTGTTGACCACTGAACATTCAAAATGAGTGAGTTTTAAAAAACAAACAAAATAAAAAAAAAGAAAAAGAACATTCAACAGAAACATGGGATTGCCTGCTAGGTTAGTCAGGTTTTCCGCAATAAAACTTTGGCTCCCTGTTCATTGTCCTTCGAACAGACATACACTGCAAGAATGTCTGGCGTGGCCCTAAGGATGTCAGTTTTGCACCGCAGAGTGTATCTGAAGAGGTGAGGTAGGAGTCTGGTCAGTAGCAAATGGCAGAGGAGACACTGTGCAGTTACTTATAGCAGGGCTCATCATGTTCGTACCCAAGTCACTGCTTGCAAAAGGACTGGTAGTGGGAGGGGTGGCACTTGTCACAGAGGAGAGGTGTATCTCATCGTTGGACTCATGAGAAAATCTTCCAGAGTCACCAGTTTCATGGCTTCCTTCGCTGTTGGCTGAATGCTCCGTATCGGCAACAATACTGAACGGCATCTGGAAATTAGACTGCTGGCCGGGAGAGCTGGGGGAGTCATCCTCACTGATCAGCACAGTGGTGCCTGGCTGATACAGACACACTGCCTGGACAAATTTTCTCTGAGGCTACATAAAAAGCAGAGAGAAAAAAGACTGTTCAGCCTCTGAAAAGCTAGGCCATAATTTGAATTCTTACTGCATTTCCTATCTCCTATTCCGCCAGAGTGCCTCTAACAGCATTGGCTTGGAACAATCTGGGCTTTCCTACAGGAGGTTAAAAAGAATTGATCTCAGGTCTTGCTCATACTTTTCCATAATAGATGAAATAATCCCTTCTAGCTAAGCATGGCTAATCAAGAATGATTTCACTGGAGAGACCTGAATGGTATTTTAAAAACATACTTGGTAGAGCTCTCTCCTATACCTTCATGCATATTCTTTAAGCATGACTCCTTGGGTGGTAGCAAATACTTTGCTTATAGAGGCATCAGAAATATGCAGCTGCTTCTGGAAATATTTTGGAATATGAATTTACATCATGGATATCGACTTCCTATTCCTTAAACATACAAGAGCACAATGCAAGTTACAATTCAATAAACATTAGTTAGATGCCCTGTAGGTGTGAATTTGCACGGTAATGTTCAGGACTTGGTTTAACACTTCAGTTTTAAACTGTTATTTTTCTCATCCAAATAGCAAATGTGTCCAGAGCAACTATTTCAGAAGCCAGACAGTTCTACTCAGATTCTCCATTTCTTCAATACTTTGGGTAAATCATTTAATTTCCCTCTTTTGATTTCCCTTCATCAAACAAAGTTTTAGCTGTCAGGGTAGGAGGGGATTCTTTATATTTTTATATTATTTTTATTTATAAATTCATATTTAATTTGTATTTTTTTTTATACAAAGTCTCTGCAGATGTACTGTAGATGCTATGCATGGACCCAGTACACAGAAATCCTTTTGCTCACAGACAAAAGGGCACAGGCAAGAAAGCAATCAGTTAACTGTAAAGAGTTACAATATCTGACAACTTGGGACAGAAAATGAAACTTCCATAAGACTTTACTACAAAGTAGAACACCATCAACCTTAACACAACTGAAACTATCCAATTAAAACAGACCACTAATTATGCTTTTCCATAAATGGAAAACTACATATCTTCCTTTGCAAATACAGGGTATTACAATAACGGTTGTACATCTCTGCCTATTAGACCAATTACCTCCTCAGTCTTCCCCTTCTTAGTATCTTGGAAGAACAGCCACCTTTTCTTGCAGTTAGCCTTCGTGACAGGCCCATAGCTGTTAATAATCAGATCAGATCCCCCCTACAACAGAGAGAGATACACAGACATTTATTTTAACAAACTAAATTTCTAAGATATTTGACAATATTTTTCTATTCCTACCCATTGGCTCCATATTGAAAAGGAAGACAAATGAAGTCTTAGTGCTGAGTCACATTTTTGTGGTCTGCTATTCATCTACTGCCCGAGACAAGTCAAGTCCAGATCCACTAAATCTGGCAAGCCCACAGGCCAGACGCAACAGCTGTAATACTGCAAACGCACAGCAAAATATTCCAGCCACTGCTCTTGCTCTACTACTTTGAATGTGACCATTCATAGACATAGTGTCTGTGCCTGTGCTGGGGTCCATTTCCATTTCCCAGCTCTTGCACATATCCTCAGGGAGCAGCTGCATTCAAGTTTGCAGTGTGTACAGAACAAGCCTTAAATCAGTATGTCTGTATGTGAAAGTAAGGCCAATGTGGTTTTGTCACACTGGATTCGACTGTAGGATTCTACACATCCACTGCCATCTAGATTAATTTCTAATTTGACAAATATGAGTTTATAAAATGTAACATTGTCTTACCAGTAAATATACAGAAAAATAATATTTTCTTTAATACCTGCTTAGTGTCATACTTGACTAGATCGTGCACAGGCACTTACTGAACTAGGTGCTGACAAGGACTCTCTTGCCTGTCTCCTTGGACTAGCAGAGACCACCTAGCAGCCCTAAGTCTATGGAGCTTTTATCCTTTGATGCTGTGCCAGAGCCAAACTCTCCAATCTGCACGGTGCAGTGTAAGACAAGTGTATTGAATCAGATCTCTAGCTGAACTTTAAGACGAGTCTTGAAAATTTGACCCTGGATTGCCAAACTTGTGCTTGTCCCATTAAAAAAACCTGCTGTGGATTTGTAGTGTACATATTTTACTTTTGATAAGGACTCAGATGTTATAGCAATGAATTCTAAAGAAAGATTTCTGGTTTGGGAGTGAGTAAAGCTCACAGTACCTTAGCATCAATGAAGCTGTTTCCCACGATCATTGGCAATAAGGATTCCTCGTTCTCTGCAATTCCTTCAATACTCTTCACCTCATTAGCACCGGCTAATGAGATGCTGGTATGCGACAGCTGGTCAGTGCTTTGCTGCACAGGTTTAGGAGCAGATGTTTTCCTACACAATGTTAAGCAGGAATAAAATTGACCCACAGGAAGAAAATACAAAAAAGCAAGGATAAACTTTAAAGCTATTATTAATCAAGTAATATTGGTATATTCTTGGCATTTACATTTTGTTATATGATACTCCTAACTCTCATGGAATTTAAATGTTATTGCTTGTGATAAAAATAACATCTGCTTCCAGTTAATCATACACAGTAGGCTACAAGCTTATGTGCAGACAGAAATTGTCATGATTAGTAATATTACTCGGAGGAAGTAACCACTAATGATATTAAGACCTTTCTACCATGCTACACAGAGACTGTCTCCCAATCCATACTTCTTCCTGCATGTATGCTAAAAACCCCTTGTTACTAAAATATACTTTCAGACAGTTTTTTAATTTATTATTTCAAGTAACTTATATTTGTTCTGATCCCACAGTTAAGGGCAGAGTCACTGGGCCAGTTTATGCCCCATAGCAGCTGATGACAAGACAGACAGATGGTGGCTTGCACCACTGCAAAGAAACTGCATCATGGAACTGCTTCATGTCCGAGTTCCTCTTGTCCAGCAACACCAGAGGGTTAAAGTCTTGCAAACCAGGTCTGGACAGGCTGGAGGATTAAGCAGGAGGAGCAGATGATGTAAAGCAGCATGCTTATCTGACTCAAAAGGGTTTTTTTATTTGGAAACATGCCTCATACTTAGTTGTCAAAGCACCACTGACTCACTTTGTGGGTTCTTCCTTCTTTTCATTGGAGAAGGGACTCAGGTAGAGTAGGAAGAGCCAACAAAGTGCTTTGTTTCCACTGCTGGTAGAAATAGGTGAAGAGACAGAGTACTTCAGAGAACTTAGCACTCTTGGAGAAGGCGGCATGTCCCAAGAATCAGTGCATTCAGAAAGAGCTCAATCTTCAAGAACAAAAACATACCTGGCTTTACTGCGATAAATTAAGATCAGGATGCAGATAAGGATGCAGGTCAAGGCTATGCAAACCCCGACAACAATGCCAGTCATTGATTTCTGGTCCAGATGGTAATAGTCAGAATACGCTATAGCAAAAAAGAACACAGAAAGGCTCAGTAAATAAGAAGAGTTACCCCCTGCTCCCTCTCAGGAAATTAATAGGGTTCCAGTCACAACCACAGAGACAAATGCTTCTTTTTAATGAGATTTCCAGACCTTCTCTGTCATACATTTTGACGCTTTTGAAAATAAAACTTGTAGACCAAACAGAGGAGTGTATGCAGTCCTGGTGGGAGGGGAAGAAGGGGCTGCCCCACACCACAGTCTCTTCGGTGACGTACAACATGGAGCAGAGGAGCTCTCTCCAACCCCGTCCTTACAGGGTGCTAACTAGACAACAAAGGGAAAAGGCTTGGAGAGTTCCAGCCACTGTCACCTAGGAGGGTTCACTTTGGTTTATGCTTTGACATCATATGTCTATTAACCTAATCCTGAGGGCATGACTCTATTTGCTTATTCAGGCCTAAAATATAACTAAATTCCAGGAAGGGAGAAAACCTGGGCAAGAAAAATCCCTGTGTTTTAATCACAATTCTATGTGTAGCAACAAGGAAAGGTTAAAAGGTTCATGTACCTGAATAATTACTAGCCTTAGAATGTGTAACAAGTCACCAAGATAAATCCTCTTCTATGTCAGACAAAGACAATGTGTTCTTCCATTCTTATATGGAGAAACCACTGATGCTACCTTAACTTCTGCAAGGTAACACATAGTTTTCCCCAAAGAGCTGCAGGTGGGTCTGACTTCTTTGGTGAAAATATATGCTGGTATATCACTCACTGACAGGTTGGTTTGGGTTGCTGGAATACCAGGAACCAGCAAATTTCAACAGATTTATCTGAGATGCCATCCCATCTCTGCTGGGCTGTCTGGTTCTAACTGACCCAGTGCTACTGGTATCTCAAGTCAAATAAAGGACTTAAAGGAAGCGCCTTAAAAGAGCGGCTGCAAAGTTGATATTGATGTAAAATTCAAAACAATTATGTATTCTCATTTGAAAGGCAAACTTCCAACTTCTGAGCAAAAGAATTAAACCAGTTCTGAGTTGAACTGAGATAAAAATTCCAAAATTGTTTCATTTAGAAGAAAACACTACACTGTTAGGACTGCCTCACGTAAAACAGAATGGTTTACCCAGAAAGCAGTTACAAGCTAAAACAGGATCTTTTTTCCTGGTACTTGTGACAGCGGTAATCAAAACATTCCTACTGACTTGTGGAGTCTCCCGAATCCAAGCGTTTAGGTCTCTGATTAGACTCTGATGTCTCCTTTGGCAGGACAGCAAGTTCTACTGCATTTGAGAAGGGTCCTTCTCCCACTTCATTGGAGGCTGCTATTTTGACCAAGTAGACATTTCCTGCTACAAGGTTTTCCAGCAAAGCCATGGTCATTGCTCCTATGAAAAGATTGATAAACAGTTCCAGTTAGACAAAATCTGTGGGCACAGATTGAGGTTTAGACATTGGGACCTACACTTTCTTCCCAATACCACCTCCAAATCTTGTTCGAGGATTGTGATCACTTTCATACGTTCTAACCTGCTTACACAGGGTACAGAATGAACACTGGGATTGCCTTCTTGTCCCTTCTGTCCTTTCTCTCCATACTGCTTGAACACAGCACTCTGCGAAGTGCCAGTATAGTTCAAAACCAAGAGTCAAGTATTGACTACGATACACAGCATACTAATCCTAAATCTAGCGCTAGCTGCATTTCAGTGTGAGAGTGTTTATGTTGTGATTGTATCTGTGAGGAGATGCTCCAAGGATTAACCAGACCTTCAGGCAGAGAAAGCAGAATGTTAGACCTCTCTCATATACTAATCTATGTGCCTCTCCTAGACCCACTGTGCCATGAATGTGAATGAAAATTGTCATAACAAAGTAATTCAGGTTCAGTTTATCAAATTTCAGGTCTAGTTGGTAAAATGAACACGACAGATTTGGAAGAGTACATTATACCATGCTTTTAAAATAAAATTAAACCCTATTTAGACCTGTGTAGGCTTCCTTGATTACTGTGCATCTAAGCTGTGCTACTAAAAATATTACAGAAACCATCTCTCTCACATGCTAAGGATTCATTTCCTCAAGTCCCTGAAGGCAGGAAAAACAGATTAAGAACATAAATAGGATTCACTTGCATTGTCCTTAGACAGGCAAAACTCCTGTCAAAGTCAATGAGAGCTTTGCCTGTCCAGGGACTGCAGACTGCTGCTTAAAATTCCAATTCCTTTCTAAAATGCTTGTGTTTCTTCCTACCATAGAAATACATTGCTTTTCTTTCCTTAAATAGTGGCAGTTACAGGACCAAATCTATCCCTTGTTCTCTTTCACATATTCCATTCACTTTTTCTCAGGCTTAAGTCTAAATTTCAACATGTCAAATCAGTTTCAGAAGTCAGAATTTATAGTATCGTGGGAGGGTGTAAAATATAAGGTTGTTTTGTTGACAGAAAAGATTATACATTTGGCAAAAGGGAAGCTACTTCAAAAGCTATTTCAGCTCTTCCATAAAAAACACCATTAGCTGAAAGCATTTGAAGTAAAATGTGAGGTATCTGTAACCAAAGGAGCTGTAATATTTAGCACCAGCGAGGGTGAAAGGTCACGTTTCAATATTACAGGCTCTTTCCCACCAGCTCCTTTCAAATCTGCTGCATTACTAAAGCAAGTAAGCACTTTGTACTGATTTACTGCACACCAAGTGTGCAAAGGCTGTAACTTCTGATCCACTTGAAGAGAACGAGGGAAAAGGGGGGAGGTGGCTGGAAGATAACTCACATCACGGATCAGCAACAAACTGCAGTTATATTTTCTAATTCTGCCATGCCTGACACAAGCTCAGTCAATTAGAGGGTTTTGTTTTTTAAGTTGATGGACCGGTAGAAATTTTCATGCATAAACTAAAGCCCATGCTAGGACTTTTATAGGTGGTAGGGTTGGTTTGTGGTTTTTTTGTTTTGATTTGGTGTTTTTTGTTTTTGGTTTTTTTTTTTTTATTTGGGGGAGGGTGTCTTTGGAGGTATGGGAAAGGAATGGGGTTAAGATTTCATAAATCTTCTGCAGAACAAGTTTAGTGTCAAGACAAAACAATGCTATTTATTGCATAGGGTTAGCTGATCTAATCAGAATGAATGCATTAAAAAACCCAAACCCTGCTTCTACCTCAAATTACCTATGAAAGGACTGTCACGGGACTATCACAGTATTTGCCCAATTTTGCCTTTACATACTAGTTTTCTTTCACAGACTTTTTCATCTGTACTTTAACTAAGAGCGTTACAGATTGTCCTAACGTGTCAAGATGCCCGAATTCCATGCCATGCCTCAAACCCTAATATATCTGTCAAAATACAAAATTAGCGACCCTAACATTGACGGACATAGTAATACACTGAGATTTATAGCTCTCCATTTGCTCATTCCCTCCAACACTTTTAGTATGGGAACACATGAAAACGTTTACTGTTATTGCCATCCCCTCATCCGAAATATCTATGGTAAAAGACTATTTGAGATGCTGTTCAGTTTCACAGCCATGGCTGAGCTAAGTATATACCTGAAAGCAATTCAGCCACTTCACTGCATACAACAAATACAGCGTATCATCACCAGAATGACAAGATTTATTCTTCAAATATAAGCTCCCTGTGAATTTAAATCTGCTGGGTTTTTCAGTGAGTAAAAATTAATATTAAATTGGTCCTTTAATGTGACAACTTTACAACACTGTTTCTTTCAACAGTTTAATGGGACTTTATATCACTGTTTCTTTGAACAATTTTAATAGTGAAAAACCATGGGCTCAATCTTCCCCCTACAGTTAGACCTCATAACTAGAGACTCGTTATTTTTCACAAATTTTGCTTAAGATTAATAGTCATTTTACTGTTATTCTTCACAGCTGACCATTCTATTTGAGGCCAGCCTGACAAATACCATTCTGCTCCAGCAAAGACAAAGCGGCACTGCCATCTTTCAAAATGGCTGTTGGTCCTTCGTCTTCTCTTCAGGAGCAGCACAAAGGACAACCACCGTCATTGAACTAAAACAGTTTACTCTCACTGATGGCGAAATGAATTGTCCTCTGCATGCTCGTTAAGTTTTATGAATTTTTCTCCACAGAAAATTTAAAGCCTCACTCTCTGCTGACAACTAAGCTTTCAGCCATGAAACAACACAGAACAACAAAATAGTAACTCTTCCTGGGCAATCCTCTTAAATAAGCTACCGAAGCACATGACTACTCTGTAACACTGAGCTTCCCTCTCTGGTTTAATACATTATTGGAACATTATCTCTTCTGAACTGCCTCTGTCTATTTTGGCTACCAACCGAACAGTAAATGCCTTTTTCTTTTTTTCTGGCTATAGTAGAAATCCGTTCTTGATGCAGCTCTTCAAATCGTAGTATTATTCTGGAAAGTGCCTATAAAAATTTAGACTATAGCTGCATCTAATCACAAAGATGTGACTGCGGTTTATATCACCATACCTGAGTTACTGTTAGATTAGCTAGCTGGGGCTCCGCAGGAGAATACAGCCAGAGAATTAAATTGAATTTGCAGAGCAATTTACTGGGAGTAGGGGAAAGTTCATTAAGCAAACTGAGCTAACTGGATCGGCAGTGATCGAAAGAAACATATAAACCCACACAGCCACATTTATAAATTTATTTCTGGAGAGCAAGGCATCTCAGAGACTTCAGATTTGAAAGAGTGCATTTACAAAATGAAACCGTCACAATCATGGTTACAACAGAACTCCGATGGATGTAATTGGATTTACGAGACATTTGGGTTCACACGCACACACTGAGCTCCAAAGCAACACAGACAGCCCCTCTCCCCTCACCTTCTGAGTATTAATTGGTTTTTAATACATTTTCATCACAACCATGGGAATAATTCTAAACTAATTATAACTTTTATGTGAACATTTATATGAGTTTCTTATTGTAGCCCAAGGGAGTTGAAAGTAACAAAGCATCTTATAAGTAGCATCACTGTTTCTCCAGTTCATAGGTTTATGATTTTAGTTTACCTTCTCTGTGCAACACTTGCCATTCCCCAGCAATCCAAGACTTCCTGGATGCATAAAGGATAGTATATCGTGTAACAACTGTTTCAGGACCATCAGGTGGCTTCCAGGAAACCAAAGCAGTATCATCCTCTATCAAAGTCACCTTCACTCCTACTGGAGGGCCAGATGGTGCTGTGAGAACAGTAACACAATGCTATTAGGCTAACCTAATTTACATGCAATTAAATTGCTTAGAAAGAAACTGATGTGCAGACCTAATGGCTACTGCTACATCCCAGATAAACAACATAAACAAACACATACTGCTCTTCAAGAGAAACTCTCCTGTTAACTCTGATCCGGTCAAAGGCTTAGATTTTTAAAAGCGCATTTCATGTTTTTCCTTCAACTCCAGAAGGAAACAGTTACTGACAAAAAACCACATTATTACCCTGTGAACAGGTACATCCCAAACATTGCAGTGCTGAGAACACGAAACTGAAGTTTTTGATTTTCACTGACCAAGCTGACAGAAAAGCAAACCAGCAGCTAGAGCAGTAGATGTGTAGTATTCTTACAGTTTCTAAAGCTTCTGCTTTTTAAAATATGTTTTCATAATGCCTATGAATCAGCCATGCCTCTTCAATACATATTTTAAATTTTTTATTCAAGTTATTTCCATTCAGTGGTTGCTAATGGTGTAAGTATATCACATTTTATATAAAAATCATTGCTGATTTTAGGTAGATTTTGAAAAAGAATTTCACAGTTCCAAAACAAAGATTTTCCTGACAGCATTTTTCTATCTCTCACCAAGAAGAGCAATATCTGTATCTCAGAGGAAAGTATTTCTTTCTCCTACAGACAGCTTAAAATTAATAAGCAATTTTTCAGGCCATTTGGTTTACAGAGCTTTCATTTTAGAACCATGTGGTCCTCTCCTAGTGCCTTACCTTCTGGAAGGGTAGTATGGTAGACTACTGGACTCCAGGGACTGGAGAGCTGGTCCACGTGCAGCCGAACTGCAAATTCGTACATGGTTTTTGGCTCAAGACCTTGAACTAACATGTGAGTCTCTGACCTGTACAGATGAAGGAATAAAATAAATTTAACAGCAGCAGTTGACTTGAAGATCCCAAACTCAAATGATCTCTCTTAGTCACTGTGAGTAGATTCTCACTGTCAGTTCAACACAAGACAAACCAGTTCAAGTCCAGACACGTGGTCCATCTGCACTGTCTACCTGAAAATGTAATTGTACTAACCCTGGAGCTCTCTGGAGGATACTATGTCTGCTGTCAGTTGACTTGAGCTCAAGTTTTTATAAAGGTTGTTTCGACAGCTGACGCACAAGCAAGTCCAAGAATATTATTGCCCAGATCACCAACAGGTATCCCAAACTCAGCTCTTTCCACATTTGTCCATGCTTCAAGCTGGAGTAACACTTAAACCACAACCCGCACCACAGCTGAAAAGGCACATGCTGTTGGCCCCATCAGCTATTCCTGCATCTGCTTCTCAGTTCACAGAACAGACATAGGCTATGTGTGCAACTTCCTCTTCCACTTATGGCCTCTATCACCTCATGTTTAGGTGATCTCTGTAGAATATGAATGTTCCCTACTCATCTTGTAGTCATATTTGGTAATTTATCAATTGTAAAATTGATTATATTAATAGTAATATTGCAGTTTACGGTTTGATCACAAAGTCAATTGTAGACATTCTGCTTTATTTTGATTCTGGGGGTGGGAGGAAATCTTTCATATACACCAGGGTTAATTCCGGGTGATAATACCCCAGTCGAGATTAAATCTCAATTTAAAATGGTGTTACTCTACAGATATTGCTTTATTAATCTCATTTAGTATTTTCACCTTCCATACTGCAAAGGCAGTCACCAATATTTGCAACGGTCTCATCCTAACACAAAAAGCAGCATTCATTGCTTTGCTCCATATTGCACACTAAGAATTTTACATGGTGATTATACTGTGTCTAATCGTTAAGTCAGGAGTTATACAGCAGGAGATGCGCTCTTTGAAGAGAAAACCATCGAGGTTAGGATGGAAACTATCTTTTAAGACAGCATTTTTCTTATTTAGAACGCTTGAGTAAACCCAAGTATTGAGGGAGCTACACACATATGGATTCCCTCAACATATGAATGTTTACACTCCCAGCATAGGCAGTCACAACGGAGCAGTCTTCTGCTCCTGTGCCACCTGGGCAGAGAGTTGAACACCAAGCCTAGGCAGAATTTCTTCCCTGTTCTGCCATTCTGTGGCTCATGCGTTGCTTATCTGAAAAGTAAGCTGTAGTTCCTACTCAGCTTTCTCCTGGTGGGGTGCCACACACTCAGGAATGTGGCATTCCCATAATAACGTGCTCAACCCCTCAAAACTCAAAAATTCTTGTTTCCAGTCTTAAAACCAGACACTGGACTAAGTCTCATCTTTGCCTAGACAAGCTACCTACAAAATAGGTATTCTCTTTTGTTTGGTTGAAGAAGAGCTTAAAATTAAATTCAACTTAGTTAAAAAGCCACTAAAAATTCAAGAGCTTGTCCAAGGATCCAACACAAGGATCACAGGTAGAGAATTAAGCTGTTCTATGGACACATCTTAAATAACCCAAGAAACAGAACTAGCAGCCACTGGGCAAAACACACAGTCCTCTAAGGGAGATAAAAGTTGTTACAGCAAAAGGCTTAAGAGAGGGCAGGAAGAGTAGAAACTGAGTGGGAAGGATCTGGAAATGGGAAATGAAGATTCATTAGTAGCGCTGCACTTACGTTTGAAGGTAGAGAACCAGAGAAGCATTCTGCAGCCCCACTGGGTTGCAGCGGATTGTGTAGTTAATGACTTGCGCAGATGTAAAGGCAGGCTTTCCCCAGTGAAGGTAGATAGAAGATGAAGTGTTAGCTTTGGCATAGAGGTGGTGAGGAGGTGGTGGCGGTGGCACCATGCGATCACGGACAGCTGTTTAAAACAAAAAAAGAGCATGAATTATTTAATGAACCGTATACAGATACTGGTAAGATTAAGAGACAGGTCTGAGCCCACAGGTTTAGATTCAAATCTGCCGCTACTCAGCACTACCTGGTATTCAGACCCAGGAATCTGGTTCAAGCTATTAAAGATCCCTCCTAACCCAATACATGTCACATTACTTCTGTAGTCCCACTTGTTTAGTCAAAAACAAAGACAAAACTATAAACAGAGACAAGGGAGAGAGATAAATCTCTCATAAGATACATGATACCTCACTGGTTAGATGATGCAGACAATCCAATAGGAGGAAAATGTGCTTGGTAGCTATCTTGTTTCCTCAGCTGCAGTTCATGAACACAGGAGACTGTCTCAGTTGCAGGATGACTAGGATAGTATTTGTCAGAGATATGATCTTTCTGGTTCTCTGTTTTACACTGAATTAATTGATTATTTATAGGTTAAAAACACAGAGCTGCTGGGACCTTGAAACAGGTCAGCTCTTAATAAATTCTTCATGTACCTACAACACTTACAGACACATCCTGGAGTGCTGACTGTTTGGTCTGCCTGATAACCTTCTTCCATGCTGTTATATGCCAGCAGCCTTACATGATACTTTCTTCTAGGATCTGCACAAAAAGAAAAGGAATAATTAGACTCAAGGAAAAAAAATAAGGATTTTCAGACTTCTACAGATGGTGAGATAACTTGATTCTCCTGCAAGTTTGGTTCAAAAATCATCTGCTACAGTCAGCAGACTGATGAATGGGCTGGATGCCTGGAAGCCTGTCTTTTCTCCAGCTCTGCGAATTTCCCTGAATCTTTGCCCAGACTGCACTAAAATCAGTCACATATCTCCCAGTCTTGCTTCCGGTAGCCTCAAACCAAAGTTTGTAACCGAAATCAGTGGGAGTAGGATAAATATCACCTTTCTATCTGTAACAAAATCACACCTTCACAGCTACAGAGCTAGATTTAATAGTATTATTCAGCATATTGAAAGCACTTTCAGTCTATAACAAAGATTTTCTAAAACAAACAGCATGAGGTCCACAGAAACCAATATTTATTTCTGGATAAGCAGGCTGTAATGAAGCAGGGCAATCAAAGCAAAAGCAGGAAGACAGGACCCAGCAAAGAAATGGGAAATGTTTTAGTTCTGGGTTCCAAGAGGAGATATACTGTGAAACAACAGTGATTGTTAGTAATGCCTTTGACTCACAACTTCCACTTCCACATGTTTGCTTGAAAGCTGGTTCTGGCATTCCTAGAGGGTCACTGTTCCTAGCTTGAAGAGTCTCCCTATTTCCCTTTCTCTGGCCATGTCTCTGGGTACCCATATTGCAGTTTGCTGCTTCTATCAGCTTTGTTAGTGACACACAGGCCTTGATCCAAGTGAAAATTTACTACAGAGAAATGAGTTAGGAAGGGGCTTTGAGCTTTCTGTAAGTGGAGATGGTGTGGGGTACCCCCAGATGACATGGCTTCTCTCATGAAATAAACAGGAACAAAAATCCCTGACATTTCTTCACCACAAGTAGGACTTTTGTTTACATCAGATCGTTGGCTCCCTCTGCAGTCTCTGCACCAGCAATACAATCTTAACTTGATTTGATGTTTCTGTAAAGACAGCATAGTAATTTCATAATAATGCATTTTGTAAAATCTTTTCATATTTATTTTGAAATAGACAAACTTTTTCTGCTGTAGTTGCCAGCATCAGCTTTAAATGAGATATTGCTAGGTAGAGTTTACATCTCTATGTATGTTTATTTTTAAAAGACGATTTTACCAAAATCTAAATATAGGTGTAAAGGAAAAGGGGCTCTTAAATTTGGATTAAAGTATTTCTTTGATGTGTTTAACACTAATGGTAGAATAGGCAAGAGGAGCCCATTCCCGTTTTTCAAATAGACTTTCACATCACAAGTAGACAATATAAATAACAAAATGTCAAAAAATGAGGGTTTTTTAAACTAGAGTAAAATTCTCATTTGCTTTCAAGTTTTTTTTTTAGTTTACAATATCCCTTTAACAACAGATAACATCAGTTGTTCCTAGCCAACAAATTACAATCAGAGAAAAGGAGATGGACACAAACACACAGAATAACCTTAAGCATGTGATAAAAGAAAATATGGAATTTTAATATTGAAAATTCAGAAAGATAGTAAGATATTACATGTAAATCATTGCAATCTCTTAAAAATTTGTAAAAACAAAAGACGTGAAAGGAAGGTGCATTTAAAAACATTGAGCCCAACCAAAAAAGATAACTGTGCTTCAAAAGTACCAAGTGATTTGAATACACCAAAATCAAGTTGTGGTGACTTATCAAGGCTAATTACAGCACGCATCTCAGAAAAGCAGAAATATATACCTTCCCAGGCTTCTTAACCTGTGGTAGGAATACATATGTTTAGCACATAACTGAAATATTCAAAAACAAAGCCAAAATTTAAAAAAGAGGCCATCAAGACCTCTTTAAGATCTCATTAGGATTATGCTTTGGAGGTTGTTAAAACAATTGATTCTCCCAACCATTCTTAGAAAAAACTTGAATTCAGGTACTATTTAGCAGACCCTTGAACAGATTCCACATAAACAGGCGGCATCCAACCAGCCAAGTGTCACAGTCTATCTTTTTCTTTACAAGTTCCTGCAGAAGAGACCCCTGCTGCATTTCCGCAAGACACAGGATGACAGACACGACAATTTATCATCCTGCCGAGCACCTTCAAAAACTCTGTGCCCTTTGAAAGTGGTCACCCAGAACTGATCATCTTCACTGTGAAATGAAGAATAGCTAAGGTCTAGTGCCCTGCTGAGCTGAATGAGGAGCCTGTGAGGTCTGTTTATCCTCACTGCCTTTTTTTTTTTTTTTTTTTTTTTTTTTTTTTTTTTTTTTTTTTTTTTTTTTTTTTTTTTTTTTTTTTTTTTTTTTTTTTTTTTTTTTTTTTTTTTTTTTTTTTTTTTTTTTTTTTTTTTTTTTTTTTTTTTTTTTTTTTTTTTTTTTTTTTTTTTTTTTTTTTTTTTTTTTTTTTTTTTTTTTTTTTTTTTTTTTTTTTTTTTTTTTTTTTTTTTTTTTTTTTTTTTTTTTTTTTTTTTTTTTTTTTTTTTTTTTTTTTTTTTTTTTTTTTTTTTTTTTTTTTTTTTTTTTAAACCTGAATTCCTCATTAACACTTGATTGGGGAGGAGAGGAAGAATAATGGGATGTGGAAGAAAGGCAAAAATGTAACTCCCACAAAAAAAATTCAAATGTTTTGAGAAAAACACATTTTCTAAATCTTATTTGAAGTGTCTTTAATGCTCTCCACTTAGAAAAAGCACAATGTTGAATACCATTCATCTTACTCTTGTGTAATACAAGACGTTTCAAAAGGAATTATCTTTATATAGAAGAACCTGTTTAAAAATAAAGTCTCTCAACTAGTCTCTACCAGCTAAAAAACAAGGTTATTTCCACTTCAGGACATCATGGTTCAATTGGTAGCAAGACTAGTTCAATCCAAAAGCTATGTCAGAATTTTTAAGCTGTCACACATTACTGCTTCTATGGTTGAAAAACCATCTGCTGGTATCTGTAATTGAAAGAGCAACTGAGGAGGGCTGCATTATGTACTGGCCTAGAAAATCCTAAATGTTATAGTAATCCAAAAAGGACAATATAAAAGAATTTTAAAGACAGTGTACTGAGCAGCGAAAGAAACTGATGTGAAACTTGCTTCACGGATTACACATATAACATTAGTGAAGACCAATTCAAAGTACCCGCTGAGATGCTGTTCCGTGTTGATCATAGCTTCACCATATGCAAAACAAGATAACCAATAGCCAAAGATCTGCCTCCAGTTCCAACAGATACTTGCACACTATTTGTTTTATGAAGTGGTGGAAAATATTTTTTTGTTTGAAGTAGCTTCTGTTTCAAATATTTTTAACAACTGTTAGTTTCGTTTACAAGCTTATGATATGATTTACTCCTCAATGGCAATCCCAGTACAAACTCGGCATAAACACTTTCATCTGTTCATCAGCTGGATCAAACATTCAAAGCCAGACATATCCTTAGAGAGAAAACAAACTTCAGGAGCTTTCTTATCTTTAACCAGCATAGGTATCCTGAATAGTTTACACATAAATCATTGATAAAAGATTGGGGATAGCATGGCCACCTGGGGGGCTGACAGTCTCAAATTTAGTGTATGCCATCCACGCACATTATACAGCAACAGGAGGCTTGAGAGGCTCAGAAGTCAGGGAAGCAAGTATTGAGGCCATCAGTCATGCTCATAACAGACCCAGGAGTAACACATCTTTCCACAGAAGATCACTGCTATTCAGAAACAAATTAGGTGCAGTGATTTACTCAACCCATTCAACACACAAATTCCGTTTAAGTAAAAAAAAAAAAACTCACATCAAGATTTCACCTCTGCATTTTCAAAATTTCTCTGAACAGCTGGCAACACTGAGTCATTTCAATTAATTCTCTTGCAATTGCCAGTATTTGTGTAGTGGTTGAAGGCTCGTTCCCAAACCTAAGGTGAACAGGAACAATTTTGTAGCCTATTTACCAAGTGGGTGAATTTTTTAAGGTTAATTTGTTTCTGTTCAATTTGGTTTGGGTTTTTTTCAGTGCTGCTGGCATTAGGTTGTTGTAAATTAAGTGTCACAGCACCTACAGCTTTTTATTAGGCATTTTTATTGTTACTACTTAAATCAGCTGGTGGAAAGGACAGAAAAACTACACTGTTTGTACAAATCAAGAGGCCAGCACTGATGTTGATATAAACATGCTAGAGCTAATTCATAAATTTTATTACAAGAGTGCCTCTGGAGTACACAAAGACTGTCTTAAAAGACATTATCAGCTGGGTGTGATAAGCTGGCACAGATGTTCCAACCCTGGTTTTGTGACAAGTCATTTCATTTCCCAGCTTGGAGAGAACCACAGCTGCTTATCTGTCTGGACACAAGAAACTGAGAGAAACTGCAAAAATATCGTGAAGAATTGAGACTTGATTTATTAGCAGTTCTATTGCTCTACAGTTCATTGGAACATCCACGTTTTATTGCACCAGCTCAAAGTCATTCAGTATTCTTTACTACTGCCTTCAGCCTTGCTTCTATGTAAATCTTCCATCTCTCTTTCAGTAAGGGGAGAAATTGCTACAAAGCAGCTGTCAGTCAGAAATACTCATATTCAGATTTTCTATTTTCTTTTCCAAAACCTAAGATTTTAATATGTTCAAATTATATCTATTTATTAGTTGAACATGGATTAAACATACCGAGTCCAGTTTTCAAAGCTTAGGAAAACATAAATGGTCTAGTAAATACATACACAATGGTAGGCAAAAGCAACTACAGAGTTGCTCTTCTCACACCAGAACTAGTTTTAGTGTATGTTGGTGTATTCCATGGAATTCCATTGAGTTACTGTCTCAAACTTAGTTCTTCGGTTCTTCCAAAACATTGAGACAAATACAGAAAAACATAGAAAACAATCTGTCTTTGTTCCACAGTAGAATAAATGGTGCTTCCGTTGACCCTTACTGGCCTCTGAAATATATCCACTGAAAACCTAGGTTTTGCTGGGATGAATCCTATAGCAGCTACCATTATT